TACCCTTATGACAACACCTAACAAATTACATATACTTTAAATATGTATATGTATATATCAACAAAAGAATTTTTGTAAAACATTTTGTAAAATATATATATATATATATATGTATATCAGTAAAAGAATTTAATTACATATTTGAAAAGTCTGAAATACCTTTAAAATTACATACCTTCTTTGCACTCTCCTTTTTTTTGTCAGCCTGTTGTCTGGCCAATTGCTTATATGAAAACAAAACTAAATAGTTCAAATAATTGACATAGCCTTATATTCTATATCCCATAGTTCTATAAACTAAGACAAAAGTTTAAATCAGGGAGAGGGAGGGGATAAAGGGGAGCTGATATCAAGGAATTCAAGAACAAAGAAAATGTTTCAAAACTGATAGTGGTAGCAATTGTACAATACTGTTTGATGTGATTGAAGTGTGGAATGTTATATCTGTAAGACCTCCCAATAAAATGATTTTTTAAAGTAATAAAAAAAAGAGAATGAAGTGAAGGGTATAACGAGAGAAAAGAAAAATCAGAGGAAAATTAATATAAGCTAAAAACAACAAACAATAAAGAAAAAATGAGATGTTAGTAAAAGAAAACAAATTAAAGGTGAAAAAGTGGCTAAAAAGGACACAACCAGACAGACCTCACTTTGTAGTCTTAAAAAGGGTTTTCTTGCCTGTTTGTTTTTAATGTTCTTCGGTATAAAATCCACGATAGATAAAATCTATAGAGAGAGTAACTGGAATTAATGGTTCCTTGGAGGTCTGGCCAGGGAGATTGGTGGGAAATGCGAGCTCAGAAGGGTGAGTAGGCGAATGAAGAAAAGGTTCTAAAACTGTTTGCGGTGATGATTGTACAACTCTTCTGGATGTGATTGAACTATTGAATTGTATGATTTGTACATTATTTGCCAATACAACTGTTGAGGAAAAATTAGAAATAAACCCTTTTTCGTGTAAATTAGATGAAGATTTACAGAGCAGACTAGCAGTTTTATATTCAATAATTCATACATATTCTGTTTTATCTCACTCATTGTAATCCCCTCAGTATAATATCACCCATCCCTACCTTTTCTGTTTCCTATAGCCATTATCCCTCATGGTCTCTCATTTTGAAACGCTTCTGAACTTTTACCTTTAGTAAACAATGTTGCCTGATCCCAATGGCCAACTATTCTAAGATGTGCACACATCAAGTGTTACTGCCCCCTTCAAGACCTATTATTTAGCTGAAAATTGAGCCACGGAGTGAGCAATTCCACCCCAAAGGGTGAGCAAGGACCATAATCTTGAGGGTCTTACCAGTCTTTATTTGACCAGCAAGCCTAGGCTCCTCCATGATTTTGAATTCGGTTCCACATTTGTCTCCCGCTCTATGCAGCATCTTCTAAGGCAGTCCTTTTCAGAGCAAGTTGGTAGTGGTAGCCAAGCACCATGTAGTTTTTCTGGTCTCAGGGTTGTGGAGACCGAAGCACATATTTTTATAGTGAACTCCCCAGATAGTGCGCATATTACAAATTGAAGGTTTTCGAAAACCCTGTGTCAGAAACATATTTTCATAGCATGTGCTACTCATGTCTCTGTGTCACATTTTGGTCATGTTCACAATATTTCAGTCTTTCTCATAGTGGTTTTGCACATTTAATAGCATATTACCCAGCCCAAACCCAACTACTGCCAATGAGTTGATCTCAACTCACAGTGACCCTGTATTGGGTCTCCAAGGCTATAAATCTGTACAGAAGCAGCCAGCTTCATCTTTCTTGTGTAGTGTCTGATGGTTTGAACTGCTCACCTTGAGGTTAGCAGCCCAACCTGTAACTCACTATTGCCACCATAGTATAGTATAAACATACCTTTTACATGCATTGGGAAACAAAAAACCTTGTGACTAACTTTCTTGTGATATATGTATTGTTTCAGTAGTCTGAAACCAAATCTATACCTTTACCAAGAAACAGCTACAGATTCAGGGAAATTACCGGGAGAAAATCTGTATCATTGAGACATTGGTTAGTTCTGGAAACAGCAGATCTTCATGTGAGCTCCTGAGAGCAGATCATCGTTTAACAGTCAATGGTACAGGCCGGAAGATGGTTTTAACTTTATTTTTTATTTTTAAATCATTTTATTGGGGGCTCATACAGCTCTTATCACAATACATGCATACATACATTGTATCAAGCACATTTGTACATTTGTTGCCATCATCATTCTCAAAACATTTGCTTTCTACTTGAGCCCTCGGTATCAGCTCCTCATTTTTCTCCTCCCTCCCTGACCCTCCCTCTCTCATGAACCTTTGATAATTTTTTTTCATGTCTTACACTGATTGATGTCTCCCTTCACCCACTTTTCTGCTGTGCATCCCCCTGGGAGGGGGTTATATGTAGATCATTGTGATCGGTTCCCTCTTTCTCCTCCCACCTTCCCCTTCCACTCCTGGTATTGCAACTCTCAATATTGGTCCTGAGGGGTTTATCTGCCCTGGATTCCTTGTGTTTCCAGCTCTTATTTGTACCCATGTACATGCTCTGGTCTAGCCAGATTTGTAAGGTAGAATTGGGGTCATAATAGTGCGGGGGAGGACGCATTAAAGAACTAGAGGAAAGTTGTATGTTTCATCGGTGCTATACTGCACCCTGACTGGCTCGTCTCTTCCTGTGACCCTTCTGCAAGGGGGTGTTCAATAGTCAACAGATGGGCTTTGGATCTTCATTCTACACTTTCCCTCATTCACATTGATATGATTTTTTGTTCTGGGTCTTTGATGCCTGATACCTGATCTCATCAACACCTCATGATCACATAGGCTGGTGTGATTCTTCCATGTGGACTTTGTTGCTTCCCAGCTAGATGGCTTCTTTTTTATCTTTAGCCTTTAAGACCCCAGATACTATATCTTTTGATAGCCAGGTGATGGTTTTAACTTTAACTCAGAATATCTGTTCACAACACCAGTTTGGTCATCTATGGGCCTTATCGCTAATGAGTGGAAGGCAGTGCCTAGTAAGGTGAGCAAGGGAGACAGTAGTAGAAGGAAGCTAGGAAGATAGTTCTCACAATCATTTAAATTTCAAAGATTATTTTAAAAGATTTTTAAAAGATTATCGTTGTTAGGTGTCTTAGAGTTGATTTTAGGCTCAGAGTAAGAAGACAGGCTAAACTATTTTAAAATTCCAGATCCTGGAAGAGCCTTTATTGGTAGAAACCCAACACTGAAAATGCCTATTCCATTACTCTGGTGAGATAAAAAATTAAAATTAAAAATCGTTCGGATCAATTAGTAGACTATTCTAGAGCTGGGCTTCAAAATCTAGTGACACCACTGTACAGAGACTCCACTGTACAAAGTGCCACATGTGAGAGACACGGTAGGACTGGCAAGAAGGGCAGGGAGTAGCATTCCCTTCACTCTTCGAGTAAAGAGCCCCGATGGCATAGTGGATGACAGCCCCAGAACCCCACAGGCATAATTCTACTCTGTGCTGTAAGGTTGCTATGAGTTGAAATTGACTCAATGTCAGTGGAAGTTTGTACAACTAATGCCTCCAAATAAGAACTTTGATTCAGTTGAATGAACTGTTTCCTCCTCTGATTTAGGGTCAGCTGAACTACAGAAAGCAAAGGAACATAATCAGAGACTGAACGAAGAAATTCTGGCCTTAAGAAACCGGGTTCGATCACTAAACTTAGAAAAAAAAATGCTTGGGGAAGAGGTAAGATATTTAGTGTATTTGTTAGCATTTCTTTAAACGTGTATGTGGTAACTTTCAGCCACTAGGGCTACATAGCTATACATCACAGAAGTTAGTCATCCCAAACAGAATGGTTTTACTGGCCACACTTGGACTTAAATGGATTTTGTAGGTTTTAATATTTTATCAATTTTGAATATTTATGCTAATATACTGCTAATTGTATTGATTTAGGAACTTTTCTTTTTAATAATGGCTTATGTAAGTAGTTTATACTTAGTACATTTACCAAATAGAAATTATTATTACATTAAATAAGTTTGAAATCACTAGTACTAAAACCCTTAATTATGTTACTGTTCATAGCAATTTCTTCTTAACAAAAAAAGTTTAATAGGCATTTCCAAGTTCTGAATAAATGATGCATTCCTTTAATTGTAGTTTATACTGATTCTACATTCATATCTCTAGTGTCTAGAATAATGTCTGGTATATACAAGGTGCTCAAGAAATTGTTTTAAATATGAAAAAATGAAGACTGAATTGTCTTAGACTTTGCAAATGTACATACTTAGTGCATATTTATTAAATTTTTACAAGTCCAATACATATGTACACATACACATGGGTGAAGGATTCATTCCAAATAGTATTATTTATATAAAGGAAAGATATTGTGGGGTAATGGTATGTGAAAGAAAGTAGCACTTTTGGCTCTCTAGAATATTTGCATGTTTGACTTTTATAAGGAGATTGGATTCAGGTATTACTTGTGTAGTTTAAAAGCAAATCAATCTTCCTCCCCCAAAATATAACAAACAAAACTGAAAAGTCTACAAGGTGCTTACTTTTTTTTTTTTAAGGTTGAAAGGCTTAAAGGAGAGATTCATGACTCTCAAAAGAATGAGCAAGTTGGACACTACTCCCCCAGAAAAATTGTGGGTGCTGAACAGGGAGTACAGGTATTTTAAAGTTCTGTCCTTTCTGATTTCTCTTAAAGGAACTGCACTTTTACACTTGGTGATCATCATTTGCTTCTCTCTTATTAAACTGTCTTCTATGAGCCACTGAGAATAGAGGAAGTAATTGGAGCACAGAGTCTATTTCTGTTCACCTCTACTCTGGAGGGCGGAGGGGGAGAGGCATTAGGATGTAATTGTTTAAATAAAAAAGAATCTTACAAAGATGCAACCAATCTAAGCATTTTTAATTGTCAAAGAGTTAGTTTATAGACCCAAGCAGTGTGGAGAGGAGGGACAACCACAATGAGTGTGGCAAAAACCTTCAAGAATAATAGTGCTGTGGTTCCAGTATGGACAGTGTCTAGTCTCTTCAGTGTGATTAACATCTGAAGTGGTTGGCAAAGGGGTCAATTGCAAGATAGTTGGAAGGAAGTACAAATGTGTTAAGACATTATTTAAGACATGCAGATCAAAAGGCTATTCAGCTTTGGGGCTACCTTTCCTCTTAAATCCCTGCAATGAGTGACATCCCAGTATTTCTGAGGGCATGGCCCACACAATAGCTTACTCTCATTGTAACACTTTGGTTGGGCCCTGTAATAGTCTAGGTACTTTGGAGAAACAAATCCACAGCAACTCATGTATAAGAGAGTTTTATGTAAAGAAAATGTGCATCATGAAAACATCCCAACCCAATGCTGCCCAAGCCCACAAATCCAACATTAACCCTTTAACCCAACACCAGTCCACAAAGTCCTCCACC